CAGATGGGTCCTGCCGTGACGGAACAGCAGATGGGTCCTGCCGTGACGGAACAGCAGATGGGTCCTGCCGTGACGGAACAGCAGATGGGTCCTGCCGTGACGGAACAGCAGATGAACATAGCAATTCCGAATCTGAATTCAACTATCAATATGAGTCGGACGAGCCAGATTATTATACGGAACCAGAGGGTACAGGAACAGACGAGGAGGGTCCTAGTGGGCTATCCAGGGGCGAGACCAATGACTTGTTCGAGGATTTGGTTGGGAATATTGTGGGTGATTGGTATCGTATGCGTGAGGGGATAGAGGCGCAGCACCGAAAAGACCTCAGGAGGCTCAAGGCTGTGTGGTATGGGCGGTCCGGGCTGCTGGCTTTCAAATTGCAGAAAGAAATGAAGGAACATCACAATCTCCTTGTATGATCTCTCCTACAAACTTGATATACGTACTCTTTCTAATATCCAGACAGACCGCAGCTTCCGACCTGCATTTGGAAAACATGAGATTGAGCGGAGACTATGGCGTCGACCGTGCACTAGGTATTCTTTCAACCTTGGGTTTTTCTGTCGAGTTGGTACTAACACTTATCCACAGTTCAAATCATCTACCAGGCAAAGCTTAGGGGAATGGTTAAGTTTACCAGTGATATAGAACAAGCACTTCGTCAGCTCGCAAAGCTACCCCTATTCAAGGAGGTTCTTCGGAAGGAAGCGGAGGACCGGAAACTCAACCCCAAGGATGTTGCCTCCCGTGTCCCCTACCTCCACTCCGTAGCTCTCGAGGGGCCCCAGAAGAGGGGTGATGGTCTAACTGTTATAATCGAACCCACACACTATTCTGTGAATGAACGTGCTGCGCTGGTTTCCTTGCTGAAGTTGCAATGTGAGTGGCCAGATTCTTTGTGCTGGAGGGAGGAGTGATTGTGTGTCATAGGGAATGTGAATATACGCGGGGGTGTCTCCCCATTTAATTTCTGTATCATAGTTTCGATGAGCTCTTGCCCTTGGCCGTATTCACTACTGGTCCAGCTTCAATGACACACGGTTTCGAGGTGAGAAACTAGCGATAGCAAGTCACTAGTGCCGGCGGCTTGTATTATCCCCCATGACTATTCCCTCTTGTATCATATATAAACATGTCGTCGTTAACCCGTAATTAAAGACCACCGTCAATGGGAGCAATGGGAAAAGCTAGACAGCATGGGAGTAAATTTGTACCAAGCACCTACCGCAAATGCTCCTATAGCGCATAATTGTAAATAGGCACTATAGAGTTACATTTCATGTGGATGTATTAAAGAGCTGTTGAACGACCACTCGCTATTTTGTGCATAAATGATGCAGTCGTACTCCTGCCTTGGCCGCGCTCTTCCACACCTAGGTGTTGTCTGGTATCGCAGCCCAGTAGCTAGGATGACCGATTTGATTGAAAGTTCCGTGGACTCAAGCAATGTTTATGATTGCTCATTGCTCGGGTATCATATATCAGCCACTACGAGAACATCCTCGGTCCGCGCTAGGATGTCCAGGAAATACCCCAATTGGGGCGGAATACACAGTGGAAACTCAGCCGGAGCCTTGGCTTGGGATGGAAGCGTAGAAAACTCCACATCATACGGGTACAGTACCGGCAAAGACAACTCCAAAGTCTCACCTTGCATAATACCTATGGTTCGTGCCACCGAGCATTGACGTTGCGATTGAAACGTTGCACTCGTTCAACTTACGAGCCAGCCTCGGGTACAGTACAGTACAAGTAGAAACGCCATATGAAAAAAAAGTCATAAATTTATCATCAACAACCACAATGAGAAAAAAAAAAAAAACCTGCCCCTGACTTCTGGCACGGGCACAGCACTCGCACAGTTATCACGAACAGGGGTAAGTTACAGTACTGTACAGTGCGTACTCGAGTAGAGTATTTGGCGATAGAAAAGTGAATTCGTCAAGGTGGGGTAAATTTAACTAAGAAAATACTTGTTACCGATTCCTGTTATCCATCCCCCCCTGTTTTCCTCGTGCCCCAGTTGAAGACTGCAATTCCTCGGAAAACGTGATTTTCTGCTTCTCACTGATGCCATTTCAAATGAGTTGCAACCGAACAGGCCCTTAAGTTAGGCTAAAACTGAGGCGGCTCCTTTGCTTCAGTTTCGCTTCTCTTCCGCCCGATCTTGCATGATCTCTGGGGGGATTGGATTGTTGGCTCTGATCTGTTACCCGGCTCCGAACTGCGTGCATGCCTTTTGGGGAAAAGAACGAGAAAAAAGGAAATCGCAAGTCTAATGCCATCGTCTTCGCCGCCAAACCTCACGATGGCTTCAGTATACAAGTCCGTATCGAAAACCGGCGCGAAACCCCCCTCACCCGATGAACCGGACAAGAAAAACAAGCAAAGAGTCCTAGTCTTGACCTCCCGCGGCGTCACATACCGGTTTGTCCCTCTTCCACCATTCGCAAGGATCCTGTTCGCGGTGTCTGATAAAAGTGCGATCTAGTCACCGACACCTGCTCAATGACCTAGTAGCTATGCTCCCACACAGTCGCAAGGACGCAAAATTGGATACCAAATCGAAACTCTACCACCTGAACGAGATTGCGGACCTCTACAATTGCAATAACATTCTCTTCTTCGAAGCGCGAAAGCGTCAAGATCTCTACGTATGGTTGAGTAAAGCGCCCAATGGGCCGTGCGTCAAGATGCATCTTCAAAACTGTTTGTCCCCTCCTACCCGCTTCTCTTGCGCTTTGCACGTGGACTCAATCGGACTAATGGCGGGTTGGAAAAAAAACAAAAGTGCACACGATGGAAGAACTCCATTTCACCGGCAACGCCCTCAAAGGCTCCCGCCCACTTCTCAGCTTCGACGCAAGGTTCGACGCGACCCCCGCCATGCAACTGATAAAAGAGATGCTTCACCACACCTTCGGGGTTCCTAAGGGCGCACGCAAGAGCAAGCCGTTCACAGACCACGTGATTAGTTTCACCATCGCGGACGGGAAGATCTGGTTCAGGAACTACCAGATTTCCGAGGCGGAAGTGGCCAAGAGCGTCGATCCCGATGCCCCAAAGAGTAAGGCTGTTGAGACGGAGCTCTCACTGGTGGAGATTGGCCCAAGATTCGTTATGACGCCGATTGTTATCCTTGAAGGGTCGTTCGGTGGGCCAGTTATCTACGAAAACAAGGAGTTTGTGTCGCCCAATGCTCTCAGGGCGGAAATTAGGAATCGGAAGGCGCAGAAGTATCATGCCAGGACGCAGGAGAAGACGAAGAGGGAAGTTAAAATGAAGGCATTGGGGATCGAGGAGGGTAGGGAGAAGGGGGAGCTTGATGACGATGTATTATTTACATAGGTAGAGAGAAGCAAATTTGTGTATTATAGGTAATTTGGCAAATACTGCAATGATGGAAAGAGTATCCCTCTTTCAAGGGCAGGCAGCTGTTGGCCCGTGGTATGCCATCGCCGCCGATCGTCTGCCCCTCTAGCTCACCTTTGAGCTCTCCTAGCCATCTCTCCCCTACCGCCCCCTCACCCATCCACAACCCCCCCCTCCTTCCTCCTCTCAACAAAACACCACTTACCAAACACTCCCGCAACATCTATACTTCTCTCACCACCGACTAAAACCGGCACCTCAGCCCGCCACCACTCCTCCACATCCCCATCTCCGCCTTTGTCTCCACCCTCATTGCCCCCGCCGCCATCCACATCCCCTCCGCCCTCTTCAACAAATCCCTCCCCGAAAACCCACCCATGCCCCGCAACCTCGACCACCGCTGCAACCGCCCTCCCAATCCCTCCAGCCCACCATTCCGTGACCCCCGCCACCCAGTGCGCCCGGACAAGTCCCCACACCGCCAAAACGCCAATCTCCTCCCGGCCCTTATCCAGCAGACTCGCAACCGCCGCGCGGAACAGCGACGGTGTTGGCGCAAACGTAACAAGGACGTTGCGTGCTGCAGCGATCATCCGAAGTGTTCGCGGAAGGCGCAGGAGCGGGGTCGCCGACGCCGTCTGGGGAAGGCAGATGATTAGGGATATGTGGGAGTGCGGATATGTCGTTAGCAGGTGGGTTATGAAGGCTGCGGGCGAGGGATGGGTTCCCGCGTGGTGGGGGCTGGTGGGTCGGGGGGGCATTCTCCTGGTATGATGGGATGGATAGGATTGAGTATAAGCGCTGGTGTGTATCGTTGTGTATCATGGGTGCCGTACTGTACGGTACTGTGATGTGATTAGCCCGGATAGTGCTATGAGACAGTCCTTAGCTGGTACATACCGGTATGATAGGATGGATAACTGAGGAGGCTTCCGATCCCCAAAAAACCATTTTTACAGATTTTTTTTCTTTTTTCTTTTCTACTTTTCCTCTCTTTCTCTTCCCTAGCTTTAAACAATGTCTATGCTCGAAAACATATTGCCATTGATCACGAGGGAATCGAAAGGCAAAAAAAAAGAAATACTTTGCCGAGGCTTCTGCCCGATAGGGTCCCCTCACTCACGGCATCATAATATTACAGTATTATTCGAGTAAGGGTGCTTTTCTTCCACTCCCGGTATCATACTTTTTTCTCCCCATAGTAGAAAAAACAGATAAGGAAAAAACATGTCAATACTTGTACGAGTAGACGGGGTATCATACGAGTACTCGTACCGAAGGGGGGGCAACCAATCCAATACCGTAGAAAATCGAACGTTTCGAGTACTGTACTGCACCGCAACCGGTTCGTCCGTTCCGTCAGGAATTCAAAAAATGAAAAGTTTTCTCATATCACGCCGGAATCCGGTATCCTCTGGCCGTTCTCCAATGTTGTCTTTTTTTTAAAAAAAAAACAAACAAACAAACAAACAAAAAAGAATAGAAGTGAAGAAAAGGGAGACAAATTTTTTTTTTCCCTGGTATTTTTACTTTCTCGGGATGGGTTGTTGGCGTGTTTTGGCGGAGGGGATGGTACGAGTACGAACGAGTATTATCGGAGAAAATTACCGAGATCGTCATACAAACTTACGATACGAGAATTAGGTTTCCCCAGCCATTTTTTCTGTTTCCTCTTTCCCTCTTTCTTTTTTTTTTCAACAAAAAAATAATAATACTAGGGGTGTTCAATGAAGATCTTGAGAGATATGAGGTTAAAGGGATGATACTAGACAAGGCTGTATATGTGCAGACATGTAGAGGAAGTAACTGTTATGGTACTGGCTACTACACTCAAATTGAATATTATTGACCTGAGCTGAGGAGTACCATTACAGTCCCATGATAAAACAAAGGAATAGGTTTCACAGAGCTTACAATTATGAGTCATGATTATGATTTCATATTATGACTCATTTGACAGCACAGTAATATTTGAGGTTTTATGTATGACTCATTTCATAATTGGAGTCAGGAGGGCTGATTATAATTGTTTGAGGGAGTGACTCAATTGAGTTATATACTGTAATTTTTATATTCTAACTCACTAAAGAGTCACAGTATTTCATATGACTCAGAGTTGTAAGTTATAAGTTTAAGTTGTTATTTGATATTTGAAGAGTAGTATATTAGCTTAAGTGAATTAGAATTGGAGAAAGAGATTTATTGAAGAAGGATGATTGTACTAATCGATTACCTCTTAATACATTTATTTTATGTTTATTTCCTACCCATACTTTATATAGTAAACAGAATCTTTTATACTCCAACTATAATATTATAACTCAAAATGACTCATAATATATGAAATATTATAATCTAAAGTATGACATGCATGAATTATCCTGCATGATTCAAAGTGAGCCCTACATGAAGTACAGTACTATGACTCACTTTGAGCAATAGTAAGATATCCACCTCTGAGCTATTTTCTTCCTTCCTTCCTTCCTTCCTTGTATCACACTGACACTCCCTCCTCTAATTGGTTCATAATTCAGAAAACCTTGATTTATCAATCTATTTATTTCTCATCTGTTCTTTTCGTTACTTCCTACCGGTAGGTAGTCTCAGTTATCCACGCGATTGGTCAATTTCCGAGTGATCTGTCCGGGGTCTTGCCATTGCATGGTCGGATGTACTCGAGTAATGCTTCGGATGGATACCACCAACCAATACAGTACCGGTACTCGGAGGGAGACGAGGGGGTGTATACGGAGGGACAAACCCGAGTGTTAATATCTACCTGTTGATAAATGTCTCACTGGTTCGGAAGGATTGTTATAATCATAATAATTATATGCCATTATGGGCTTGTATTACTACTCCGCTTCCGAGCGTACTGTTCTTGTTACGGCACTGTACGAGTATGGCAAAGAAATGGCAAGCTTTGCGGATGGCTCCAGAGCAATCCTTCTACCGGCGCCGGTCTTTCCTTTTGCCGTTAATTGACATTTGCACGGACACTACGTGACCCTGCTTGTCTCAATACTCTTCCTCTGCCGAGCACTTCAAGATGCACCCTGTACGAGCACAGTACGCGTCACTTATGAGCAGTGTTCAATTACCGTAAGTTGCAGAATGTTCTGTAACTTAACTGTACCGGGGTTGCGGAATACCATCAGATGAACATTTCCCTCCAGCAGTCTGTAATTTGGGATATCCCCGCGGATAATAGAAGCTTTCACTGATCAAAAGCGAGCTTACTTTACTCATTTGTTGCTATGAAGCAAGAGTTATAGTAGCCCCGAACATCATGCGTATTCTCCCTTAGTAGCAATTCGATCCATTTTAGCAATACTAACACTGCTTTCAATAGCAGTTTTAGAACATGATAGCAACTTTAAGAAGGGAAATTTGCACTAGCAATAAAACAAAAAAGAGAGAAAAACTCGACCTCATATGTTAATGCTCGTACAGCCCAATATATCGATCTGAAGCGGTACAGCCGGAACAGAATAAACTCGGAATAAAAATTGGGGAATCACATATTTGATTAGAGACAGCTAGAGAGGTGGGCTATGTTTTCGAGGAGGAAAAACGAAAGAGACTGAATATTGCATATCAACGGAATTGAAAAGAAACCTGTACAGCGTCCCCCACCAAAACCGATTACTTTTTGTGAGTCTTTTTGGACTTGGACTCACACTCCTTATCGAACCCTAGACCGTTGAAGCAAAGTGTTAGTAGAGGTCGTACAATTGAGTTCGTATTGACATTAAAACCGGGTAAAGGACTCCGATTGTTTTTGTTAAACTCGAGGGTAAAAAGAAAAAGGTGGAAAGGGCTTCACCATATATAGGGTTTCCGAGCTGAAAGGTAATCCCGTTAGTAAAGATTCCAGTTTGATATAAAACAACGAAAAGATGAAACAAACTCTCTTTAGGGAAAAGATAACCTGTGCAGTTAAACGGGTCAGTACTATACTTTGGTAACTAATTGCAAAGGGGGCCTCTTCTTACGTCGGTGACTGTAATGGTCTTGCGATTGGCATGTTCAAGATAGATGGTGCATGAATGAAGGATCTAATAAAAAGTATGTTAGCCGCTGCCCTATTACCATCAAGTAACGCTCCCCTTAAAGCTCAGAAAAACCGGCAAACCTTTTTAAGGTGATCGGTCATAGCACCACGCATCTCGTTGTAGATCGCAGCCGAGATGCGTTTAACCCCGCCACGTCTGGCAAGTCGACTACTCCCAGCAGATCAGTATGTCGGGTCACAGTGATGCCCTAAGTGCGGCCGGGGGTGAATGAAAGGTAACAAACCGTAGATCACCCTTCGCTGTGGTAAGGAGAAATAATTAGCCACGGCTCAAAATCAAAACGCTATCGCAATGGAAAGCAGGAAGACAGCAAAGAGGAGGAAAGACTTACTAATACCGTGAATCGAATCTCTATGGATCTTTCTCTGGCGCCTCATGCGACTAAGTCCAACGCCCTTTCCAAGGCCGGAGGTAGCCTTTCCGCCAATGCTCTTCCCTCCGCCAATGCTTTTCCCTCCGCCAGTGCTCTTCCCGCCCCCGGAATGCCTCCCTCTCCCGGTCGGAGGTGGGGCACGACCGATATTGCGAGATGTAGGTGGCATTTTGAGGCTTTCGTAGGGGTTTTTTTTATTAATTCAACGGATCGTAGTGGTAGGGTCGGGTGGCTAGAACAGTCCTCGCTACTGTGGTTGTTGGCTGAAGAAAATCCGGGGAGAAGGCAGGAAGAAGAAATGGAGAAGGAGGGAAGATAAATTTAAGTCGGGACAGAGGGGAAAAGAAGGGAAACATGAAATGGAGGTGGAAAGGGAGGGTGGGATGGGATAAAGGTAGGGCAGGATAAGGGTGGGTGGGAAGACGCGGCGGGAAGCTGGGGCAAGCACAGGAACCAACCAAGCTTTGGGGTTTGAGCAACGTCACGTGGTGGCTAAGCCGTCCCGCGAAAAGTGTAACTTACGGTATTCTCGTGCTAAGTGCTTAAATCGTGGCCATGGGTGCACTGTTGAAATGCCAGTGGCGCTTACTATTTCAAACATATTAAATTATGAGAATAACACAGTGCTGCAAAAATCAAAGGGAAAGAAACCAAATGCATAACCTGATTGGGGCCATAGGGATGGCAAGCAGGATGTTGAAATGTTATCCTAAATCTAACTCTCTATAGTATGCAAAATTTCTTAATAGGATTCATGTCTGATAAGTGAGGAATCCAATCTGTTCAAAGAATTTCAGGCTTAAACAGAAATGTGTTATAAATAGTGACAAAAAAAGAATATGGTTTTACATGACTCAAAGTTTTGAGTCATAAGTATGTTATATTTTAAATTATGAATCAGGTATAAGTTATGGGATTTTATATAACATATTAGCATACTTATAAGTTATTTTTATTTTTTTAATTAACCATTAGTTTAGTAACTCACAATTGCAGGTTACACAATGTGATGACTTTTGCATATGACTCAGATTATGAGTCATGAATTTTACACATATAGTAATATAATTAGTACATATAACAAATTGTTTTTTTTATGAATTCTGATTGGTTTTTAGTTGATAGGAGAAAGACTTATAGATAATAGTTAATAGAACTCATCTGACTTATAGTTGGAAGTTATAGGTTATGCGTAACTCATATGTATAAGTTACCAGGATTAAGGTTGAATGATAAAAACAAGTATCATATGGGTGTTGTTATGCGAAAATGGTTCAGACACCTTAAACCTAGTTTTGAGTAATTATACTTTCATGTTTGCATAGCAACCACAGAAAAATTATAAAACATAAAAATATTTCATACTCTTTCTTGTAACCAGTGTTACAAAATTCTTTATAGAAGGCAATTCTACTACTAAAAAAGGCTCTTAAATATTTTTCTGATAGCTGAAAACTCAGGCTACGTATCTATGGGAAAAAGAGAAAAGTGTAAGATCTGAAAAAATCTAACTGTGAGTCAATAGATAGACAAATTTCCTTGACAAATATTTTTTAAGATCATCAGAAGGGACTCTTCAAGTGGAAGAATAATTATATGCATTGAAGCAAATTTGTTGCATTAGTAGAGTGGGCCAATTTTCACATATCAATACCCATATATTGAAAACTTTTAAAATTCAGAAAGATAACTTGAAGATCTTGATACTGTTTTTTTATATTTTTATACTTATGTCTTTATGAATGCAAAATACTATCATTGTATATCATATAATATACTGTTTACTATGTTTGATGTACCTTAAAACATATAGTAGAAAATTACTGATTTTCTAACTCTATTGTATTGATAATTAGTAATATAATTACAATATATGACAGTACTATGATTAGGTACTGAGGGTATGATAGCTATGGGTAGGTACTAACTAGTAGTACTGAGAGTATGTGACTAAAAAAGTCTTTAATAAGATGTACATAGAAAGAGTAGATAACTGTTCAACTAAGTATATTAGAAAATACTACAGTTGGGATCTACCATTTTGCTGTTAAATTAGTAGTCCTTAAATACAAAGAAATAGTTTATTGATAATAAATAATTCTTTAAATAAAACAAAGTATCAACCTAATAGTTAAAATAAAATATAAAACAAATACTATATTAACCTGATACTTAAAATAAAATCTAAAACAAATAAAGTATCAACTTGATACTTAAAACAAAATATAAAATAAACAAAGTGTTAAGAATCCTAGCAGGCGTAGGGGTGCGACAGGTAACGATGCCTATCTTTGAGGCGAGGTAATAATTCTTAGGCCGATGCCTACACGATGTCGATAGTCTAGTCCTCTGACTCCTATCAGATCACACCTATTCCTCTAATCTTCTTGAGTCCTCGCTCAGGACTTCTTCGTTCGTCGTGGGATGAGAAATAGTTTTCCCGCTTGAGAGGAAAGACAATTCTTGAGTTTCTTAAGATAAATCTTAAAGAGCGTAAAGGTAGGTTTTATTGTAATAACTTAAAGGTAGGAAATAAATAAGAAGAACGTGTGAAGAGCTAATACTAGGGGTCCTAGTGACCCTTTATATAGTAGCTCTTCACCTTGCGTGACTCATACTTTTGCGTCATGCGAACCTTGTGACTCATGACTATGAGTCATGCGAAATCCCTCAGCTGACTCCAATGAGTCGCTGCGCAACATACCTAGAACCAATCAAAACATAATAACCAAATCAGTTGCGCAACTCGTGTTACCTGAGTGAAACCCATGACCCCTAATTTGAGTCAAGTGCGAAAATCATAACATCATATGACTCACAATTGTGAGTCACTAACAAGTAAACATAATAACCTATAGTATGCTAATATGCGTCATGTAAAAATCCAACATACCTATAGCTTAGAATTCCAAGCTATGTAAAATCTGCCTTGCTTAGTCACAGTTTGTGACATTAGCTCCCTTCTCCCTCAGCCCGAGTCCCATTGGGCTTATAACAATCTTTCTTCCAATCCCCAAGCCCTTTCGGCTGGGAGCCCCCACTTCTTTTCCTTGTCCAGCCACATATTGACCTTTGCAATCCTTGCTAAGGTTCGGCGGGCCTCCCTTTCCTCCTTCCTCCGGTCGTTCTGGAGGGCCTTCCTCATCCTCCTCTCTTCTTGCAACTCCTTCTTGAGTCCTTCGATCCTGTCGGACTGGTATTCCAGCAATTTGCTGGTTTCTGCTTTCTCTGCCAACCACTTCATCTTTATCTCGCTTGCTGTTTCCGAGACCTCTGAGTCCTCCGTCTTCCTCATCTTGTCTTCCCAGGAGACCTGTCTTCTCCTGAGTTTTGCCCATTTCAGTTTTTTCGCCCCCCTCCTCCTCGGCTTCGTCCTCGGAGTTGGCTCGATGTATTGCACCAAAGCTACAGGCTCTGGTGTCGGGGATCTCGCAGGTGATCCCAGGGGTGAGGTCTTGGGTGGCCATCGGTTCGCTTCCCATGGCCAATATCCCGAGCCTTCTTTCTCTGTGTAGTGCACTTGGCACTCGTCGTCGTAGCAACCTGTCCGTGACAGGTTCGCGTGTTCCCTTTCTTTCATGCATGTTTCTCGGATCGGTAGATCCATCAGATTTGTCCATTCCTCTGCTGTGTACTCCGTTTTGATGGGAGTACTCGGTTCTTGCGTCGGTGTTGGGGTACGGTACCCCGGGCTAGTCGGCGTTATATGTTTGAACGCATCGCGTTCCGGAACGTTCCGTAGGGCTGTTGGTATTGGCAACTGTTGGTATTTGATCTGGGTCTGTTCCCCTTGGTAGGAATCCATTCTGCTTAGAGACAGGGCCGAGTACTCGGATTCTGGCGCGTCTTCGACTCTCGGTTGTAGGTTTGCTTGGGTATCATTCATGGAAATGTTTGACTACATTTTGCGCGTTTTCGAAGTTGTTTGCGGGGTACCAGGTTTTGTCGTGTTCTGGTGAATATCCCGTCCACTTTGCTCTGTATTGCAAGTGAATGTAATATAATCGCGAGTCGATTATTTCTTCTAGTTCGTATTCTGATTCTCTGTTTATTTCGATTGGTGGTGGAGGAGGTTTTTCTTGTGAATGTAGAGGATTATCGTGATAGGGTTCGAGTAGACTAATGTGAAAGGTGTTGTGTATTTTCATTGATGGTGGAAGGTCCAGTTTATAAGCGCAGCTTCCTATCTTAGCTATGATTTTGAATGGTCCTATTTTCTTGTAATCCAGTTTTTTCGTTGGTTGCGTGGTTCTGATGTTGCGTGGTAGTAACCAAACCTGGTCTCCTGACTTTAGGTTTGGATCGGGTTTTCGGTGACGATCGTATTCTTCTTTTTGTCGTAGTTGTGCCGTGACCATTTCTGCTCGTAATATGTTGTAAAGTTGACTCATATCTGTCTTGTCCGTTATCTTTCCTTCAAGCATATGACCTATGGTCTCGTGTTCCGGATGTAGGCCATAGTTCGCATAGAAGGGTGTTGTTTTAATTGTTTCTTGATTTCTATTATCGTATGCGAATTCTGCTGTGGGTAACCATTCGTACCAATCATCTTGTTGATAATTGACGTAGGCTCGTAGGTATTGTTCCAAGATGCTGTTTATCCGTTCCGTTTGTCCATCCGTCTGCGGGTGGAATGCCATACTCATGCATTGTTCGATTCCAAGTTTTTCTGTTATCTCCTTCCATATCTCGGATGTGAATAGTGATCCTCTATCACTGATAATATCTTTTGGTAACCTGTGCAGTCAGTATACTTCTTTTAGAAATATTTTTGCAAATTGTATTGCCATTATATCCGTTCTGCAAGGTATGAAGTAACTCATTTTAGTCAGGCGATCCACCACTACTAGGATGGTATTTTGATCGTCTGACTTTGGTAAGTCTGTGACGAAGTCCAGTGATATTGATGTCCATGGTTTACTAGGTGCTTCGTTTGGTTTGAGTAATCCGTAAGGTGCATGTTGGACCACTTTAGTTCGTTGACAGGTGTCGCAATTTGTTACGTATTGTTTGATGTCTTCCCTTATCTTGGGCCAATAGTATCGTCGGTTGATGAACTTGGTAGTTTTGGCTGTTCCTCCATGTCCCGCATATGGAGGGTCGTGATGGTGTCATATTATTTCCGTGCGTAATTCCTCTTTATCTGGTATCCAGATTTTTCCGTCATACCATAGGTATTCATTCTTTCATTGGCATAGTCCTAGGGCTATGCCTTTAATTTCCTTTGTGCCGGCCTCTAGTTCCTGTCTTATCCTTTGACATTCCTCATCTTGCGAGCT